GAAATGTTGTTGCCGCTGATAGTGCATGAATAGTGGGTGCAGTAAGCAGGGCGTTCCCACAGCAACGAGATACATAACCAAAAGTTGGTAAAACCCAAATGAATTCAGGGCAGAGCCGAACACTTAAACACGTGGCTTCAGAAGCCAGGCAGACCTGGGTTTGAAGTTCTTTGGGCTACTGGCTCAGAGCTCTTGGGTAATCTTATTAACCTCATTTTTTTTCATTTGCAAAATGGGGGTGAAGCTGCCTCACATGATTGTTATAAAAATTAAGTGAAAAATCTGGGTGGTATGTAACACAGTTCTTGGCATCTATGATCAGCACATTAAATTCATCTCTTATTATGAAGAAAAAGTGGGGGTTATGAGCCTGAATTCTGGGACTCTAGGGCCAGCCAGACTGGGCTAGAACCCCAACTCTGACAATTGCTAGCTGTGTGACTTGGACAAGTTACTTCACTTCTCTGTGCCAAAATGTCCTCATCCATAAAATGAGAATAATATAATATAAATCTCCTAAGGTTGCTATAAACATTAACTGAGCTTATATCTGCCAAGTACTTAGGATGGCGGTAGCAGATAAAAGTGTGCTCTTACAGCCGCAGGGATCTCCCTAAGTTCCTGTCAGTGAATAAAGAGCTTCCTACTTGTGACTATAATTCCTTGACTCTCATTACTCAATCAACAGCTATTTATAGAGCATCTACTATGCACAAGCACTGAGCTAGGTGTTAGAAGGGATTGGAAAAATTGTAAAAGACATACATTTTCCTGATCCCAAAGAACACAAACCCCTAAAACAGGAATCATGGTTCATAAGGTCAACCAATAGAGTACGTAACTATTGCTATGTACTCTTCCTAGTACAAATAGATAACAGAGAAATTCAGAGACATAAGGTGTTGCAGGCTCGATCCCTGGTTAGGGTGCAAACCGGAGGCAACCGATTGATGTTTCTCATATCCATGTTTCTCTCGCCCTCCTTCTTCCCTCCTTTCTCTAAAATCAATAAAAAACATATTGAGTGAGAGAGAGAGAGAGAGAGAGAGAGTTCTAGGCCTTGGGAGTGCATACCCTCCTTCTTCCCTCCTCTCTCTAAAATCAATAAAAACATATTGAGAGAGAGAGAGAGAGTTCTAGGCCTTGGGAGTGCATGAGCAAGAGGAGGTTCCAGAAGCCTGATGGTCTTCCCAAGGACAAGTGAGATGGGTGTATGTCTGGAGTGGATGGTGGGCAAAGGGGAAGTCAGTTAGGAAAGGTAGGTGGGGGCCAGTTGGCAAAGAGCCTTAAATGCTAGACTATTTCTTCAATGTCTAAACTGTAGGCAGTGGGGATTCAAGCAGTTTACTGGTAGTTCTTACCTTTAATGTTGATAAAAAGTTACCCATATATATTTTTTAAAGTAGAAGTGCAAACAGGCCCCACTGCACATTTATGAAATCAGAATCCCTGAAGCAGAGGCTCAGGCATATGTTCAGTGAAAGAATTCTGCAAGCCGTTCCGACAGAGACCAAAAGTTGAAACCCACTGACACGGAGCCTGTGGAGATTATGTTCTCAGAACCCGACACAGGGCAATTTACAATTGAGTAAATTAATACCTTATGGGGGAAAATGACCCTATGACATTACATATATATTATATATTATATATATACACACACACACACGCCAAGGTGGCGGGGCTGAAGCAGAGATGGTTAGGGGCGATCAGGCTGGTGGTGGTGGGGCAGTTGGGGGCAAGCAGGCCAGTGTGGGGGAGGGCAGTTGGGGGCAAGTAGGCCGGCAGGCCCGTGAGCGGTTAGGAGCCAGCAGTCCCAGATTTCGAGAGGGATGTCCAACTGCCGGTTTAACTGGAAGACGTACATCCCCCGAGGGGTCCCAGATTGGAGAGGGTGCAGGCCGGGCTGAGGGACACCCCGCCCAATGCACGAATTTTGTGCACTGGCCCACTAGTATATATATAATTTCATTTGCAAAGTTATATACATATACTTTGCAAATGAAACAATAATAGTATACAGTTCATGCTGGCACATAGTAAATGTTCAATAAATATTTTTTAAATTTTAAAAAAAGTAAATCTGGATTAATATGAATGGCTTCTTGACAGAGAACTCAGAAGAAAGAGAACTAGGATCTGTCTGGTGTCCACACATGCCAGGTAACTTACAGGTAGTATTTCATTTAGTCCTAAGAAGAGCCCTATGAGGGGGACATTATTATTCTCATTTTAGGGGCAAAGAAGTTGATACTCTTACATGGTGCAAGTGTAGTAAGTGACAGACTGGGCATTCAAACACAGGTTCCAGGCTCTAAACCAAGGCATTTCCCACTGTATCAAACAACCTCCCCATAAACACTGTTCCCTTGAATCTTAACTAGATAGCAAATATTGTGTCATAAATACTCTCTACTCATTCTCCTTTTTCTCCTCCGCTGGGGTCTGAATTTTACCTTCCCTCTGCCCTGAAACTGAGCCCAAATCACTGAGAACTATCATTTCAAGTTTTGGTGTTTGTTTGTTTTTAAAGCAAACTCCTCCTTTCCTTCTCTTTGTCCCACCCTCTCCCCCTCTGACATCTCCTAATCCACTATACTCCGTTGTGAATCTCCTTGTTTAGAAAGCACAAGATGGAACCTGAAATCTTAAGGAATTCCTTGGGTGGTTTTCTTTGTACCCGAAGGCTGACGTGGGGTGACAGCAGAAAGGGGCTCGTTTATAGTAGGCTCCCCCCAAATCAAAGGAAATGACGCCAGTGCTCTGTGTAGCACTGGGAACAGTTCGTTATTTTAATCTAAGGAAGTTCCTCGTCCTGCTTTGGAAAGTCATCCTCTACTGGGAGACTTTGGTTGCTGTCTGTGTGTATGTGTCTGTGTGTGTCTACAAGGGACACTGAACATCTCTCCTTGAATCAGCACTGTCTTCTCCATCTGCGTGTAAGATTCTCACCTCCCAGTGCCCCCTTCTATTTTTTCCCCACAAAGGTGTTAGATTTTTCAGATCGAATGCTTTATTTTTCTGTTGATCACATGATGCACAAAGACATTTTTCTCCTTTATATATACTTCCTTAATTCTTCTACAGTGGATTATATTACAATTTACCCCACTCCCATCTAAATTGGAATCCTGGTTAAATGCCAGGCAGCCTTTCTTTTTGGTTTTGAATGTTCTTCAGATGAAACTGACAGCTTGTATATTCCTTCATCCACATTACTGAGGGAAAAGTCTGTCACTCTGGGGCTAGGACCCACGTGGATTTACCTATCATTAGCCTGAAGGCCTGGGCAGACTTCTTAGCCAAAGAGGTTCAGGTATAACATCTATACCTAGACTCGAAATATCGACTTTGAAAAGTGACCCCTTTGTTCCACCAGGAAGAATGAGTTGCTGTGTGAGGAAGCCATGATAACACTTTGCATTCTCTGCAGACGACTGTATCCAAATATGCAGATTGTGTAATGAAAATCCTAGGGGCGCCAGTCACCTAGGATCCGGTCTGAATAGTGCCTCCTGGGGTTGAGCAGCACACATCTGCTCAACCACACACAGCAGCCCTCCAGTAGGAAACTTATTTTTCCCTGATGCAAATAGTTTTCTGCATTCTTAATAGCTAATGGCCATTTGTGGACTCTTGTTTGCCTGAACATTATAATCAAGGTCTCATAAATTAAAAATTAGTGAACCAGGCTTATGGTTTATCTTTATTGCCCCCTATTTTTATTATTCCCAGAACAGACTGACTTTGAAATCATAGAGTCATCGGGATAACTTGAGAGATTATAAATGGTATTGTCCTCAGAAAATGGAAGTGGGTTGTAGAAAAGGAGAGTCGTTAATGGGAGGCAAAACATCAGAGTTATCACATCCAAAAGACACTAAACACAGTCATATTTATTTAAAAACATAACGTGGATTCCATATTAATAAATACTTTTAACACTGAATATCGAAAAACTACTGTGCTTGTTCTAAGAAAACAGTTTACTACAGAATCAGAAGAAAGATAGTCTTTTGCCCGTAGGCCTTTGCTAAAACGATCTGGGACTAGGAATAGCCTCATGGATATTGTGTGAAATTGGGGGAGGGAAGAGAGTTGATACAATTAGGAAGAATTTTCTACTCTCCTTTCTTCACTGGGGCCTTAGAATTAAAAATCTGAAATTGGGAAATACACCTTCGCACACACCCCAGTTTATCTCTCAGTTTTGGATTAGGATCACCAGTGAGTGGACACGAACAAAATTTGGAAACCGGTCCCTGATTTGAATCAAGGTCAGATCAGTCTGGTTGAAAGTGGGTCCATGAGGCCCAGCAGGAGCTGCTACAGCTGATGCTTAAAGCTCAGGCACAACCACAATGTCACTCACCACAGAACTGAAAGCACCAAACCATGTTGACCGCCACCTCCACCAGCTCTGTCCCTTCAGTGCTGTCTTTATATGAACCTATCACCCCGTCTGCCTGCCTGCGGTCCAGCCCCTGCACCCTGGAGCTGGGGTTGGAGGCACACATTACCAGGCAGCTGTCCAGGCCTTGCACCCATGGAGAGAAACCATGAAGGGAACCCATATGGTGACTTTTTTTCCTGCAAACACTCAAATGAAACAATCTCAAAGATGTGGAGTTCCCCATCCTAATGGTAATAAATGATAGATAAATGCTCCTGAAAGAAACAAAGGTAGGCCCTCTCAGACCAGCCTCGAGTGGGAGTGGAAAACGCCTGCTCTGAGCGGCGTTAAGGCATGGAAAAGACCTCGGCTACTCCAGGCCTCCCTGGGTCTTTTTCGCAGAAGACATGATAACCTTCCAGGCTCTAGTATGTGAACGAAGGCTTCACCCTGAAAGCCACCGCCACACTGCTGGCTCTCAGGACGTTTCTGGGTAGAGGGAGGGAGGAAGAAAAGAGGTCTTCATTTTGATACATAATCTTGTGGCCAAGGGCAAGGGAAGGAAGTGGAAAAGAACAAACGTGGTTTGTGCCTACGTGAACGAAGGCTTCACCCTGAAAGCCACTGCTGCACTGCTGGCTCTCAGGACGTTTCTGGGAAGAGGGAGGGAGGAAGAAAAGAGGTCTCCTTCATTTTGATACATAATCTTGTGGCCAAGGGCAACGGAAGGAAGTGGAAAAGAACAAACGTGGTTTGTGCCTAGTCCTCTTAGTACAGGTTGCAAGGATTATAAAGGGAAGAGCTGTTTTGGGTTCTGAAGGCCAAGACTTAGTCAAGAAGGGACAGCAGCTGGATGGGGGGGGGGGTGTTAGGATCATGGGGCTTTGGGGTTTTAAGCTAGGGAGGACCTCAAGGCTTTCACTTCGTTTTCCAGAAGAGGAACCAGGGGCCTGAGAGATTAAGCTGTGTGCCAACTCCACATAGCTTGGTATATCTGCTTGGGGGACACGAAGAGTAGCAGAGACTGCAGTGAGCCATATGGTGGGGTGCAGGTGCACATCGCCTGGCATGTGGTTAGTTACATTTAGAATGCCCGCAGGTGAAAAGTTCCCAGCCCTGGGCCCTTTCTTGTTGATGTGTCTCCAGAAGTGAATAGATCCTGGACCGAGCTTATTTGGGGGGTTCCCTCTGGAGGGTGAGGAGGAGCTGCAGGTGTGTCCTCACTTCCCAGTCCGGGAGGCCACCTGGATGGCTTTGATCCACTCGGTGCGCTCCTTTGGGGTGGCCGCTTGCAAGAAATAATGAACTTCATCAGCCGTGATGATCTCAAACAGGTTCTCTTCTTCACTTTTCTTAGCTGGTGAAAGAAAACAGGAATGACAGTGCCCATGGGCATCAGAGAGGCCACCTAGCTCACCCTCCTCTGCAAGGAAGGAAATCCCTGTTTCCTAAGTGTTCTAAGAAAATCAAATGTGTGGTTTTCAAACTTACCATCATTGTATGATCATATATATTTATTGTATAACTATAGATAGTATTTATATGGACAGGTACATAGTATGATCGTGTGTGTGTGTGTGTGTGTGTGTGTTTAAGAAATAAGTTGAAACACTCAAGGAGAAACGTTTTCTTTTACAAACTAAATTTCTCACTTTTGCATATGAGTAGTAAGTAACCTCTAATAGTGTATAATGAATATTTCCTCTACTCATAATATAAATCAAGGGCTGACCCTAATACATTTTAAAATTTATAAATAAATAAGTAAGTGAATAAATAAATAGATAGATAGCCAGGCCTACCGCCAATACCACCAGACTAGCCTGAACTTGTTTTTGTCAAGGGCTAAGTTAGAGTCTCTGCTGAAAGATTGGAGGCAGTAAACTGGCCAATACTGTGACAAGGCTTAAAATCTCCACCTCAAATCAAAAAGCAAGATGCTCCCTACCCCAAAACTAAAGCAGAATTCTATGGGGTGAAGGGAGTAAGCAGGGGTAGTGGGGAAAAAATCTAGGCTTATGCAACTGTAGTGTTTTTCTGTCTATCTCTATAACATCATAAACCCAAAACAACCAGATAAAATCAAGGTTTGGATGTCCAAACCACACCTCCACAGTGATACCACCCCTCCTCACACCTGAGAAGTCAATCTACACCAACATGCTTATTCCATGCACCACATCATAGACTTGTGATCTGGGACTCGGAGGTCATCTGGTGCAAACCTCTCATTCTCAGAGGAAGAACTAAGACCCAGATTATTTAGGTGATTCACCCAAGGCCATGCCGCTAACCAACTAGCAGAGACCTAACGATAACCCAGGTACACCTTCCACACACTGCAAATGTTCTTTGGGTTGTGGGAGATTTCCTGGTATGTAAAAGGCTCCCATTAAGGAATGTCATGGCTCAGTTACACGCATCAGGAGGTAACAAGTTTCTCCACTTAAGCCAGTTCTAATGTGAAGAATTTTTCTCAGCATTGCTCAGAGATTTACCCAAAGCATCCACAAAATCTCTCCAACTCCCCAAGACCCACAGAGCCAGGGCAGTAGTTGGGAAAGAATAGCTCTTGGTTTCTCCCAGATTTTTAAACAGAATTTCATTCATGCTTATGCCTGATTAATCGAATGATTGATAATTGTTGGCTCAGGATGCCCGTGAGTGGAAGGGAACCCAAGTAGATACACCGCTCTCAAACAAAAATCATTCTTACCATCTGGGTTGCTCTCCACTGAGGTCACCACACAGCCTCGCAAATGAATTGCTCCCAGGGGATCTTCCCCCTAGAGGAGAGAGGAGTCCTTCATTATGTTTCCAAAGTACAGGGTATGGATATACCTTATCCTGTCAGTGCAAAGCCACACACTCATTCTGGTATAGATCAGGGCCCCCAAAAATAGAGAAGAGTGGAAAGAAATTAAAAGACACCCCTTCCAAGTCCCCCACCCACCACCTCACCCGGGGAGATGGGGTGAGGAGACACAAGTCAATCTTAGCTTCATATCTGGAGAAAGTGGGAGGGGAGGTGGAAAGGCTGAATCATCATGTCCCACAAGAGAACTGCATGTTTCCGGAGCTCTTGGCCCCATGCAACTAACCCTCACGAGAGGGAACCAAAGAGGCTGGGGACCCAATCCAGATGGAGTTGTCTTTACACTTCAGAGTTGGCTCATTTCATTGAGGAAAAGCCCCCTTCTGGATACTCAACAGTCTACGCGCCTAGATTTAAACAATGCTTTCATCCAAGTTGGCCTGAAAGAGAAACTAACACTTGTTTGCATATTAAACCAGGAACAAAGTGTTGAACTGGTTGAATCCCTCTGAAAATATTAGATTAGGGAAAATAAAACAAATTCTGTTGAGTTGACTAATAAATGACAATTTAGTGATATTTTCTTCCATCCCTGAGCTTATGCCTCAAAGTCTAAGATCTCAAATCTTTGCAAATAAGAGGAGGTAGAAAACCATAGAGACAGGTGGCAGAAAAACAAAAGTGGGAGGGCGAAGAGGGGAAGGGGATATCAGCAGAGCAGAAATGGGAGTGGAAAGCCCCATGAGCAGATGCAGTGGAGGCTTCCAGCCGAATGGGCTTATTGGCCACAGAATCTCACCCCAGCTGGGTCATAGTAGTGCAGATATGCAGGGTCTTCTCTCAGAATGAACTTCCTCACTTTCCAGTTCTTCCTCCGATGCCCCTATATCCAGGAACAACATAAGAAAAGGAATGATGAGTTCTTGGCATCACTCTGTATACATAGCACCCAAATAAATCTTGGCTGAATTGAAAAAAAAGATGAAATACTAATTCTAGGAGAACCAGGCCCCAACTCAGATCTTTGTCAGAGAGTTAGCACGGTGGCCCATGAACAATTTGGATATCATTAAACTATAGATTAAATTATTGCTAAGATTGCCTTCCAACTTGATATTATACAAAACAGTACTCTGTATGTGCAATGTACTATGTTAGGTAATGTGGGGGCTATAAAGAGATTTAATTTAAGACATGTCCCTTCTCTTCATAGAGTTTATAGTCTATGTGGGAAAATAAAGTATCAAATAGTTGGTATAGATAATGGATTTGAAAAAAATTAAATGAGAGATATGTAATTTGGGGTTTGGATGTCAAAGAAAGTCTTATAAAGACCTATGCCTATCCACATGGGTGAGAAAAGGGTAGGTAAGAAGACAATTGACAACAAAACAGCAGTAAGAGCAGTCAGACTAGAAGGCAGGAGTCATGAGGAACAGTCCAGTCAAGATTGGAAAAGTGGAAAGGGACTTGGTAAAAATAAAAGGTGGGGTTGTTGCTGAGTCAAAAGTAAAAAGATTACAATCACATTTTAGGAAGATTGATGTGGTGACAACATACAGAATGAACTAGCTGGTTAAATTAAAGATAAACCAGGGGCAAGATAATAAGGTAAAAAGAAAGTCATTAAGAAATGATTGCAACAATTCAGGCATAAAATTATCAGGGACTAACATCAGATAGCAGCAAAAGAAATGGGAAGGAATCGCTGCTGTGCCAGACATGATGAGAAGGAAGAATAGAACTTGGCCTTTTCCAATAGAATTACACACTGACACTGTTCGGACTGTGGGTTTTAAGGGCAGAATTTGTGTCTTGTTTGTCTTTGGTCCTCCAATGCCCAGCACTGTGCCTAACACAGGGGAGTGCTTTATGTCTATTGCCTTGAATTACCCAGTTATTTCAATTAGCTTATAGCATTTTATTAAAATGTCATGATAAAACTGATGGCATGCTTTCCCACAGAAATTCAAATGACTTGAATAACTCAGAAGCCAAAAAATACTGTATTAGATTAAAAGATATGGAGTTTCTATCTTGCCAATACAAAGAATGTTGTTCTCTAACACTCCACACATTGACAGGCACATAAATGAATTTCCCAACATTTTTTCATTGTGTGCGTATAGAAAGCAATGAAACATTTACAATTTTAGCAAACAGTGCCATAATTCCATGTCAGAGGAGTTTAAAGGGAGCTTTCAAGAATGGGTCTAAGTTATTTGGCCAATCATTTGGTCAAGGAGCTCGTGTCAAAAGAGTCTTTTACTGGCATGAAGGTTGAAGCCAGGAACTCTGTGAAGTCATATGGGAGAATACAGAATATTTCTATCTGCTATTTCATGTTCAGAATGGCTTTTGCAAAGCATCGACTTCTAAAGCTCTTCTTATGAATTTCTGCTCTTTGCCTTAATTGGTGTTGCCCATAAAATGTGGAAACTAAAGTTTCTGCCCACACTGTTTTATCCTGATCTGTGTATGTGGCATATCCTCTTATGAAATGACTTGGTGAATACCAACTTCTCATGAGTCAATGGAAGAGGAAGGTAGCAAGAATATGTGAAATCAGCCAACCCTGGCCACCACCATATCCATTTAAGCCCTCACTGGCATCACAATGTGACAAGTTGAAGAGTTTGATGTTCTGTCTGGACAACTTTCATCTAATGAGCATTTCCTGAGGGATTTTAAGGAATGCATGGGTGCCTAGGGCTTCCAAGAATTGTTGCTGACCTGTCAAAGTAATCTACTTACATTTTATTTAATTCATCCTACAAATGTTTTTTGCCTATTATAGACCAAGAAGGATGCTGAATTCTGCAGCAGATATGAGAAAAACATACACGTATAACACATTGTCCTTCCTCATCAAAGAATCTACATTGGTTGAGAAACCAGATAATTTATCCATTGTCACAGCAGAATGAATTATATTTTAAAAGATTATACTGAATATAATCCAATCTCATTTGTCCTCGAATTTGTTACATTCCCCCAAGTAGAATTTTTTCCTCTGGGATGGGAGAAGTGGGGAGGAAAAGATGGGGAGGAAGGGGCCTGACTCCAGTTGGACACTGCTTCTTCACCATTTAAGCCTTAAGGTGTGGAGCACAGGTGTCCTTTTTCAAGATCAGCATTCTATGCAGGTTAATGGTTGCTAACTCCTAGCAGCAGACACAAAATGGGTTAGTTTTTGTGCCACTTAAAGAGGACATTTTTAAAATTCCCTCAGATGACTCTGATATAAACCACTGAACTAAGAGGAAGGAAACATTAAAGGGGCCTGTCAATTCAAACAGAAGAGGTTTTTGTTCTTTTCCCCACCTGCCTCCAAAAAAAGAGAGGAAAGAATATTGTAAAAGAACAAAATTCCTGAATGCACATAGATTTCTGTTTTGTTTATGTTTAAAGGAGGTTTATAAGGATGGCTATTTAAATAGTAGTGTTCTGATAATAGGATAAATTAGCTTTTAGGTAAAAGGCTAGCTCTGTGGGTTTCAGCCTGGCCACACACCAATGGGAGCTATAAAATCCAGAGACTCTAATATAATTGGCCTGGCATGCAATTTTAGCAGGTCTCTGGAGGAGTAGAGTGTGCATCAACAGGGTAAACGGTAGCTAAGGCTAAACGGTAGCTAGCAAAGGCCGAGTAAAGGCAGGCGAAGGAAAACATGGAAGCACGCCTACTCTGGTCCCCACTGTCTTCAACAGGCACTCAGGCACCCATTACCCTCAGCCAGTTTTTGACCCTCCAGGGCCTGCATTGGGGTACTTAGGCAGTCCAGCTCAGACTTCGTTCAGCCCTTTTCAACCCTCACGTTCAGTTTTCTCAGGGCTCCTCTCTAGACTAGGGCTTCTCAAGTCAACTAATTCAAGAACAGTCATTAATAGCCGATAACAATACAGAATTATACAAGGTATCAACAACGTAAGAAAACAATGAAATTCCCTCCTAAGGAACTCTTGTCTTAACGGCCACCTCCCAGCACCTATAATCAAAGAGCCAGGATTAAACTAAAGAGGAAGCCAGCAATGTCCATCTTCCCTATATAAGGCTGGTCTTGCTCCTATGATTTTCCTTTAATCTAGTCACTGGTCACCCTGTCATAAAAGTCATTACAAGAGTCTGTGAAATCTTTCTAAATCCTTGCTGTACTATTTCTTAGGACCCTGATGTTAAGGTAGTTTACCACACTAATGCCCCACTTCCCCTAGTGAAACTCTGAATCCACGTCTACACCTAATTTCAACTAGCCCAAATCCCTTCTTTCTAAAAGTAAATATATACTCAACATTGGTTCTCCCTTCTTTGCCCTGAAAGTTCAGGGGTCCATTACGAGGTAAGTCAAATCTCCGTCCCACAGGGCATATAGACAGTGCACAAAAATCTCCTTACAGCAACCAGATTCTCCCTGTTACATGCTGAGCAGTGCCTATAAGACAGCTCACAACACAACCAGAGGGCAAAACCTTGGCTTCATAAAGCAGCTTTTGCTTCTGTGACACCATGTGCTAGTATCAGTTGATTTCATCCTGATATTCCCATGTCTTCCTGTTGCTTCTGCCTCTACTAGGTGCTGGCCCTGGCTTTCTCACTCGCCCCAGCCCTTAACTCTTGGCATCTCATGCCTTGGCACCTGGTAACTAACTACAGCTCTTCAGCTCACCTAGCCCTTGCCTCCCAGTCTAATGCTAGCCTATACCCGCGGACACTTGGGAACTGCACATGACTTCCCCCCAGGACTGAGTCCATGCCCTCTCACTGGATTTGACCTTCGTCTGCTGCTTCTGCAGAGTTGGCCTCAGGCATGCCCTGGATTTGGTTTCACTATGTCCTACCCACAGGCTGGAATGGCACTTACTTGCTCTCAAGCATATATGATGTTCCTCCTCTGGGTATGGCTTATTCCTGTTTCCTGGTTACTTTGGGGGCAAGCGGAGGGGGAGGGATAAGCAAATGGAAGTATTTTTATTATGAAATATCTGTCTTTTCCATGCCATCTCTTAGGCAACTGATTTCTTCCAGCTAACAATTTTTTTTGAAACATCTCTTTTTCCCATGATATTGATAAGAGAGTTTCCTTTTTTCAAGATGCATCTTCTGCCTGTCTGCCTCGGTCCTCCTGTCTTAATGCCACTTTGATCATTTACCAAGCTATTTGTCCATCTCTCAGTCTGCTGGTTTCATTTACTGGTTGACTATCAGCCAAATGAAATATAGTTTGGTGGTTTAGAAATGAAAAGAACCTGAGAAGAGGGAAAGGCTAAAAGGGAACAGTAGTGGCCACTCACCTGCTTCAGTAAACATCCTTGCTTGATAATGACCCCTCTGAATTCTTCTTTCAGAATTATATCATCATCACTGGAATTCTCTTCACAGAAGAACCCACTGTCTGGCTATTGGGAAAGGAAATAACAAGTTTATTTTACCAGTCTTAGGCATATTGCTATGTGTACCATCTTTACACACACACACACACACACACACACACACACACACCCTGCACCACTTCCAGCCACTGGCGTAGGCTCCTTCTTCTCCTCCAGTGGCTCATATCCCAACCTGAACTTTAAAGGCTGTCCTTGGATCTCGGAGGGAAGGGGGTGGGGGTAATCAACCAAAGACCTTGTATGCATATATGCATAACCCATGGACACAGGCAATCAAGTGGTGAAGGCCTGGGGCAGAGGGGATGGGCTGGAAGGGGTCAATGAGGGAAAAATGGGGACATACATAATACTTTCAACAGTAAAGATTTATTTTTTAAATATTATAAATAAATAAAATAAACAATAAAAAAATAAAGGCTGTCCCTGGTTATCTCATTTCCCCTCCCCCTTAATCTTGTTTCTAGAATCTAGATGCTCTTCCTCTCCTTCCACTCATGTGATCTTGCTGATATCCTTTCATTTTCTTGGGTTCCCCATGCTACACATATTTTAAGTCTAGCTCAGCACATTTCTTCCTTCAAAGCCTTCCTTCTCTTCAGACCTCAAAGCCACATCCTAAAAAGTAGAGTTGGCTACTTTATAAGACATTGCACAACAAGACCTCCACTACGATCTCTGCCACTCAGCCCTCTTCTACTTTGAGAAGACCAAGAGCAGGTGCCCAGCCTCAACCCCTGAGGTCAGCAGGGAGCTGGGTTTTGCTCAGCTATAAGCAAGCAATGAATCATACAGAAAAAGAGGAGCCACTTTTTAAGACCTTCAATGGAGAGGACTTAAGAGGTTCTAGCCCAATACCCTGGACTCAGTAACACATTAAACAGGAAATAAGCCTGGCCTGGACCTTGTGGCTGGATATTTTTAGAATCCCACATTTAAATGGCTATAAGCAGCCAAATTAGAGGTCTTAAAAATATGTATGCTGACAGCGGAACTTCCCCCAAAGTGAAATGAAACTCTCCCCGGGACATTCACATCATTTTTGTAAAAGGCTCTTAAGTAGCTTCCTAACTTCTGTGCTCTGACCCCAAATAGAAACAAAACTGCCAAAACTCCCCTGGAAGTTCACTGTTGCAGGATTTCTCACGTGGCCCAGGTTTAGGTCCACATTGTGTAATATCCTGTGTTTCCCCATCTGTGGTAACACAGATGACTGGGGGAGGGAGTGCCAATGCATACATTTTGCATTAAATTGAATATTTGAATGTATATTTGAGAAAATATACAATCAGCATAATGTGATTTTATGGATCTCCTCTAGAAAGGCAGCTCCATGCAGGCTGCAATTTTTTTTTTCATTGCTCTATCCTCTTTGTTTTTATAAATGAATTATTGCTTAGAATAAGAATAGATGTAAAGCTTTGAAAGTCATTTTAAAGCAAACTACTCAAGTAAACAATATTTTCCTTTAAACTGACTCACTTGGATGTGGCAGGCATTGAGCTGGGGGACAGCTGTCAAGTCAAGAACAGCTAACAACTCTGGGTAGAGGGCTGGGCCTCTCTTTCACACATGTGGGTGGCCCAGCCTCGAATCTGCCCAGAGCAGTCTCCATTACAGGAAGAGTAGCTAAGTAGCTTCTCTCACTTACAAAGTAGTAGAAGGCATCAGGGTTGTCCAAGAAAGGGTTTTCAGCAGTCCCATCCACTGCGTTCTTGGACAGGTCTCCAGCAGGCTGCAGGTACCCTTCGTTGAGCAGTGAGGAGGCGATCATGAGGCCTTCCTGGCGATTCCGAACAGACTTGCTGGAGAGCAGCCAGTCAATGACACAGTTACCTGGATGGAGCCATCAGAGGGAAGGTTAACTCTCCTAATCAAAGAACAAACCACTGACCATCGCCCCTGGAAAGCCCCAGAGCACCCACGTGTCTGACTTGTCTCACCTTCCCTGTTATTCCAGGAAGGAAAAACAAAATCAGTGGGATAGCTACCCGGAAACCAACGGAACTATGTAAAGGGTTTTGTTTTATTTCTCTTTTCTTAAATCTGTAAGTTCTTTAAGAAGCAATGCATCATTAAAGAAATAGTTCTTTACCCACTTGCACTTAAGTCTTATATATCTTGATTCCTGTCTATTCTTTTATTCAGCTCTGTGTCTATTTTAACATAATACCATTTTTTGGGAGAAAAAAAATGACTCTTTGATTGATATAGCTGGCATTTCCAAAACAATATCTTGGACAACAAAGTTCTTTTCTACCCTTCATTTTATGTCCATGCTGGAGAAGTTCAATTCTCATGTTCACCAGTCATCCTCCTATGACCCCATCTACCCAGCCTGCTACACACGCCCCTCCCCACACATATGGCTGAGCGGGAACTCCATATTGCCTACCCCAGCTGCCCCATATCAGACTTTCAAGGCCTTTTACCTGTGAAGCAGTGATTAAAAATCTTCTTATCCTTCTCTAGGTTCAGCTCTTTTATTCCTTTTTCTGTGTCTTTCATGGACAAATACAGAGCCCTGCCCAGAGATGAAAACAGATGGATGAGTGGGGAGCACTTCAGAATGGCAAGTCCTCGCAGGGACTTTGAGGAGCTGGCCAAGAACATAAGTTTCTCCCCTCAGGTGGCCCCTGTGCCTAATCTCCCCACCAGAACACAAGTAGTTAAAGGGCAGAGTTGATATTTGCATAATTCTGTGTCCAGCATGGCATTCAACAGAATGCAGCAGGGAGATAATTATTAGTTCTTAAATTCATTGAGCTCTTTGTTGATTTAAGTCCCAATGCCTGAGAGAGAAAGTTAGGTGGCAAAAATTAAGGTTCTCAGGGCCAGTTTTCCACTCTAATCTTCAAGGTCCCTTGATTTTCACATCCCAGTCCTTCAAGTGTCATTAAGAGACCATCTAGACTAGACATTGCCTCCAAGAAAGCGAATGTTTTAGCTAAGCTTATCTCCTATTCTATTATGAGACAAAGCAAAATAGTGAGAAGTTCTCATTTTTGTCCTTGAAGTAATAAACTCAAGATAGCCTTATAAGAGAAACTGCCAGCAAGTAACCAGAAAGCCCTTTTCATGTATCATGTGGTTCCATATAGCACAAACACCATTCCCACTTAGCTCTGACAGCCAAGACCAGAAATGTGTTCACTTGATGCCCCCAGCCAGCAGCTGCACTAGACCAGGAGCCTGTTCTTGGGTCTTTACCCAAAAACTTTGCTGGTGAGAGAAGATTCTAAGTCTCCCCAAGCTCATTGTACAAACTTATTAAACTCCTGTGACATGCCAAGTCCTGTGTTAGGCTGCTGAAAGGGTTTGTCTTTGGTCCCTCTCAGGGACAACCACATTGTGTAAACAGAACCCTTCTTGAACATTTTTAGCAGCCAACATGGAATACTTTCTGACTGGGCTCCTATTTCAGGTTATACTCGACATAGAAGCAAAACTATCAGGAAGCAATGATTCTTCTAGAAAAAAAAAAAGCTCATGTGATAGAAGGAGATATGAAACATGCAGAAAGAAAGGAGCCCTGTTCCTGTCAGGGGCTGAATTTTCCCGTGAGCCTCTAACAACCTTTAGACAACAACTACCACCTGCAATTCCAAGCCAGCCAACGTCATAGGACATTAAACCAGACCAGGGTTTCTGCCCAGGATGGGTGTTCACCTTGACTGGTCCTTGCTGACAGTGTGAATATATGCACTTGAACTCAAGACCTTGCATACTTGGATGCAGACCCCCTGCCTTTTCCTCCCTACCCAGACATCCTGGAGCATTCTTTAAAGACCAGCTTATTATGGCTACTTCATAAATGCAATAAGTTCTATCTCTCTGTCTCTATCTCTTTGGATCTCTTTCTCTGCCAAGGTTTCTTCTCCAAGGTTTTCCAAAATGAGGGAATCTATATTCTAGTAGCTTCGTCTCCTCAGCTGCTAGGCCTTGGAGAAGCCATGATCACTCCTTCAGATCCAGGTAAACATCTTAGTACACCAAGAGCCAGTATAGGCCTGGAAGGGTGAATACAGCCTTCAGAGGTGACCAAAGCAAGCCCTGGAACATCTCCTCAAAGGGGAAAAAAGAAGGGGTAGAAGGAAGCAAACACAGAAAATCACCCTAAGTCAACGGTTTCTGGCAGTCGAATAGATCTCCTGGTGGATTTCCTCGCAAACTTCTGGCCTCCTTCAATGCACTTAATGGCCTTCTTGATGTCTCGAACCCAGCCATCTCTCTCTTCCAGGAAGGCTGCCTGGAAGAAGTGGTCCTGCTGTTTGGTTGTAGTGATCTTAAACACAAACTAAAAATAAAAATACATGCCATTAGGAATCACTCTTTTCAAGGGGCTGAGGTCCCTTATGAAGCACAGCAGTTGAGCCAACCCTGTCCTGGAAGTACTTGGCCAAGAGAGACCCAAATGCCCAGGGTGGTGGTGAGGGAACTAGTCCGGGGGGAACCAATCATACTGTAGGCTATGCACAGGCTCAAAGGTCAGTGTCTGACCAACCATTCATTGTGGCTATTAATGTCCACTCACCATCCTTTTGCCGAAGTCCTGACAGGGACTAGTCAGAGTGCTTCCTTTCAGAGGAATCATTCCTTTGGGGCTATTGTCACTTTTCTTCTTATAGAATTCAATTCCATCTTCTAACAATACAACCCACATGGGTTTCCAGGTGTTGAACACACTCCCCTGTAATGACAACAAAAAGTCATGTAACAATATTTTCTAAAATTGTTCTATAGATGAGGTAGGACTTGGTAAATAGCCTACTGTTGACCAGTGTGGACTCAGGTGACTCACATTTGTGTGATCAGGGTGCTAGGCAAGCAGCCTTCAAGGGAGAAGGGACTGCCATTCTTCTGGAACTTTAAAAAAATATTTTTAAGATAAACTGTATGCATGTCCATAATCAGCCATAAGCCTCTCATGGGTCATTACCAAGGGAATATGGGATGGATCTCTACTCTTCTTCTTGTGCATTTCAGGCTGGCTTTCTGCTCCCACCCCTGCCCATTGTGTTCAGTTCAACTCAGGGATGGCAAATAGATTCTATCTCAAGTGCCAGCACAGACTGAATAGTAGCCAATGCCTGAGGCCGGACTCATGGGAAAAGTGACATGATCCAACAGCTGTGTTTGCCTCAGGTATGGAGGCCATAAAGGTGGCGTGCTAGCTGCAGTTTCTTCCATCCTGTGGTCTAAGATTTTATCTGAATGTGAATGTCAAGAAGAAACTCAGACAGCAGCCTTGCGTTCAGGATGGCTAAGTTGTATGAAAATCCCTTGAAAAAGGGTCTGTAATGCCAGAATGTTGCTGTCCATGCTTTTAGGAAGATCTTTACTGGAAAAGTTTTCAGTTTGGACTAATGTCAACTGCCCCTGTAGCAGTACATTAACTGTTCTGACTAAATCAAAGAAGTCTCTCTTTTTTGTCTATATTTTGGGAGAGTTTGGGAAAATAAGGTTCTTTGCCTCTCACCATTGGACCCATGAGGTCACCCTGTCATGACTTCCACAAAATAGAATTATCATCCAGCTCCCAGAAGACCTTGCGGCTTATCTTAAAATGCAAAGAGCCTCTATATTAAGGTCAGTTGCCCAAAAGGAAGTCTATTTATGCAAAAAGGTTAAGTACTTGTGGGACTATCATTTTGTATCATTTTGCTTGTCCAAGTGTTTCCTTTACTTTAGTTACTAAAAGAACTTTTAAAATTAGAACCCACTATCTCTTTTTTGCACAGGAAGAATGACTATCCATACTAACACTAGACTGTTTTCCTTTCTTAAAAAATGGGGAAGGTCAGACACTGCAAACACAGGAAATAATTTCAGTTAAATGTCTTTCTGCTTTACATCTATCTGAGAGAAACTTATATCCAGAATATAAAGGGTTCCTGCAAATCAATAAGAAAAATAAAATCTATTTTTTAAATGGGAAAAAGACTGCAAGAGGCATTTCACTAAAGAGGTTATCCAGCCCAGCTCAGTGGTTGTCAGCCTATGAACCAGGAGGTCATGGTTCAATTCCCGGGCAGGGCACATGTTTGAGTTGCAGGCTTGATCCCTAGTAGGGGGCATGCAGAAGGCAACCGATCAATTATTCTCTTTCATCATTGATGTTTTTTATCTCTCTTTCTCTTCCCCCCCTTCATCTCTGAAATCAATAAAAATATATATATATTTTAAAAAGAGGTTATCAAAAAAGTATCTGAAATGATGTTTGGCATCATTATTCACTAGGAAAATGCAGATTCAAAGCATGGTGAGATACTTCTACACGTCATTAGAATATCTAACATTTACAAAAATTAAGACCAGCAAGACTTGGTAAGGATGGTAACTGGAATCCCCATATGTGGTGGGCAGGAGTGCAAGATGGCACATCAAACTGGAAAATGTCCTAATTCTTAGGAGATATATGTTGAATTACTGAGGAGTGAGGTAGCATGATGTCCGCAGCTTATTCTCATGAAAATTGTGTGTATATTTATATAGAAATACAGAGATATGAGAGATAAAGCAAGTGCGAACATGTGTTAACAATAAATAGTATACAGGTAGTCATACTCATTTTCTCATTTCTCTGTGGGTTTGAAATTTTTCAAAATAATTGGGGAAAATGAATAAATAAATGAACAACAGAAGACACTACTATATAGTAAAATCTAGGTTATACTTTCAGGGAAACATAGAAACAGGTGTATAAAATAATGAAAATAATAAAAGCGATACTCAGAGAGCTAGGAGCAAAAAGTTGAACTAAATGATGCTGAATACCTTTCATGTCTAAAATTGTATATTCTACCTCAGGCCCCTCAGAGATGAATAACTGCCACAATCACTCAGCAGTTTTGACCTTAGTATTGGGATAAATTGGGAGAGGTCAGCCAGCACTGCATTCCTCCTGTAGGCAATTAAAGTAAAGCTACTCCTAATTCAAATGTAGCCTCAGGGGTCTGTCAGTTCTCAGAGCAGGATGTGTCATTTGGGATTCAGGGCCATTATGCACACTGAGAAGGCTGATCCTCTGTAAAACAAGGGAAATGAGACCTGCCTCATAGAGTGGAAAGTTTCTTCCAGGCTTGGTAGGAGTTAGCTGGGTTAGGATGATGGAATGACAGGTGATCTCTCTTCTCCTAGCCATTGCTACAGCCACCAGCTTCTCACTGCAGTAAACCGACAGCACCTCCTCCCCACTACCACTGTACTGACCCCTTCCTGTCCCCAACCCTCTTGGCACTCACCCAAGAGCAAACCGGGCAGTGTGATCCTGAAATGTCCAGGGCACATTACACCTGACCAGTACATGTGGAACTGGAACTAGAATCCAGGTCTCTTGATTCCCAATTTTATGCTCTTTCTACTTCCCCTCAGATGCCATCTTTATTTCGGTTCCTATGTACCTTTGAGTAATTCTGGAACCTAAATCAATTTTTTTCAGACCACTTAGCTAGCTATACATAAATCATGGTTATAATTTTATATAATATGATATATATATATATATACATATATATATATATATATAATCATATGTCTGAAGTATTGAGTGGTGAGGAGGTATTATTTATACTTTTCTGTAATGCCTTTTGTCATTATAGAAGAAGACCTCTACAATGTACAATGGGTGGGTTTTAGATGCTGAATTAGGTTTATTAATGTTTCCCAGGGAACAGCTGTTGATCATCATGGGACTGGTATAATTTAGTGCACAAGAGTCTGACATTGCATAATGCCAAAAGAAGAAATCTCAAAGGATGAGATATTTGACTGTATATTTTTTAAAAATGAACTTCTGTGCATTAAAAAAAAACACAGCAAAATAAAATGTGGATATTTGTAATATGTCATATAATTAAAAGTTAACATGTTTTTAAGAACTTTTTAGAATCATCAAAAATGTATAGAAACACTCATTAAATGGGCAAACAATATAAATAAGCCATTCTCAAGAGAAGAAATACTCAGGCTCAATAGACATAAAAATGTACTGCTTCAATAGTACTCAAAGAGACAAAAATTAAATAAGATATAATTCTGCCCATTGATAAGATTTTTTAAAAGATTTATAAAATATATTGGTGAAGATTTGGGGAACTGGGCATGAGAAGACAAAAAGGAGCCTTATGAGCAGCAGTTTGATGTGCACTATTTTTTAAAAAGCTTAAAGTGCCCTGGCTGGTTTGGCTCAGTGGATAGAGTGTCGGCCTGCGGACTGAAGGATCCCGGGTTCAACTCCAGCCAAGGGCACATGCCCAGGTCACAGGCTCCATCCCCAGTGTGGGGTGTGCAGAAGCAGCTGATCAATAATTCTCTCTCATCATTGATGTTTCTATCTCTCTTTCCCTCCCTTTTCCGCTCTGAAATCAATTTTACATATATATATATGAAAGCCTAAAGTCATTGTAGGCCATATAGAAGCATAAGATCTAAAGAGAGGACAGTAATATTCTGACTTTAAGTGGCGCATAACCAGGAGGTGACCACGAATCTGGAGCTGGGTGGTCCAGGCTCAAATCCCAGTTCTGCCACATTCTACCAATGGGATCTTGAGCAAGTTCTTATACCTCATTTTCTACATCTGGCAAATGGGGACAATGTTACTACGTATTTTTCAGCGTTATTGGGAGATTAAATAAAACAATTCATGTAGATTGCCAATGGCAGAATCTAGCACATAGTAAGCGCTCAGTAAAATAGTACCTATGTCCTGTAACTCTGCTTATCAGGTGCAGCTGGAGGATGACCTTGCGTTTAGGAAACCTCAAGGCTGCAGGTAAACCAGAGCCTGTTCAAAAGAGAGGGACAGGATGGCATCTCTTTGGGGAAATTGTTGAAGAAACTGGGTAGGTTTTAGCCCAAAAAGGAACAAGCAGAGCTGAGGAGGACCGTCTTCAAAGGTGTCAAACATTGTCATCGATCATGGAGGTTTCAGAAAATACAGTTTACGCATAACTTAAGAGAGAAAGTTAAATTAGTGGGTTCTCTGACACAAGAGGCATTCAAGCATGCTTGGTAACAGCATAGCAAAAGAAATGCGGCCTCAGGTGGAAAATTCAGTTAGAAGTTACTTTAATACTTAATACTCCTTTCAACCCCCAGATTCTACACATCTAGTCCAAAAAGGCTGTTGTCCTTACTATCCCTGTGGATATCCTCAATTTCAAGATATCCCTTTGGGTCTCTCCTACAAGCCAAAAATAAATAAAGTTCTAGCACATATTTAACATGATCACCGAAAAATGAATACCCCATTGGAAAAAATTTAATACATTATAAGTTACTGTAATATGGACCCCCCAATTCCTTGGTTTCTATGATTTAGACAAGTTTCTTTCTTTGAGACATGTTCATTCAACAAATAATGATAGAGCAACTCCTGTGCTTCAGACACTGGCCTGGGTGTTGGGGTGGAAAATGAGTAAGACAGTCTCTGCTCTTAGATGATTCACCATCTAACAGGGGGAGAGAGTGACCTTGAATGACACCTCCAGTTCAATGGAAGGATGCAGAGTATGAGCAGCGTCACTGAAAAAAGCCACGACTCACTGCTGTGGGTTGGGGCAACTTTATTATGTTGTTTAGAACCCCTCCCAGGTCACTTCCCAGGGAGTGAGGACACCTCCTTTAACTTCTCCTTTCCCTCAAACTTCTCTTTTCATATGTTGACGTATAGCTGGAATTCAAAGG